CAGTTAAATAGTTGTCTGCTTATGTCAGCGGTTTCAGCACGTGTTTAACATAGCAGTCTGGTTACAAAACACGAGGTTATTGTTATTAGTTCGATTTGTGAAAATGTCTGCACAATTGCAACTAAAAATTGCATACAAAGCCTTAGCGGATATCCTTATATTGAAAAGGACATTGAATAACCTGGTTGAATTTGTGGAAGCAAGGTTGGCGGGTCTCTAAAACTAACGCCGCAGTAAAAGATAGGGAAAAATATATTGCTACAGGAGCCTGGAGATGGAAACTAAAATGACGGGAATACTGCCAGAAAATACCGCCAGCAACTTCTCTGAACGTGTGTCTTTTTTTTTGACATAGGACTACGTCTGTGATTTCTATATGGGGAACACTGCGAAAACTGAAAATAGAACATGTAACGAAATTATGAAAGATTTAGAACGTTAATAACTCAGCTGCCTCTGGACCAATTTCAATAATTTTATCAAAAATCGATCAGAAATATTTCCATACATCGATAGCAATGCTGCCGACTGTTGATTTTTAACAAGAAACTATTGAAAAAGTGGTAAATGTCATGCATTACCCAAAAGCGTCGAAATAACTAACAAATCCACTAATTAGGTACATGGATATGCTGCTTCCCTAACACAGTCGGCAGATAATCGTTTCTACACGAAACATGTTGATGTAGCATTGCTGCTTTCCCCAACACTGTCATTAGAGAGTCGTTAGTAGACGAAACAATTCGAAGTGGCATTCGCCTCCGATCTTCGGGCGTGTGCGAAAAGGGAGGATGAAATTGTGTAACATTTTGCACACTCATCGCCATATTCAGAACCACACGCCCCCCAGCGACCATACAAAATGCTCTCCAGAGTTGTAATCGTGTAACCAAACTTGGAAGCAGGGTTGCAAGTGATTTTGATCGATTCTCTTCATCAATTATCTCTTTGAAAAAAATAAATACTGCAAATTTGGTAGGAAAAATGACGGCTTCGGCATGACAGACTATTTTCGGCAACCCAAATTGAAACGCTAATTTCACTGGATTTTCTTATGAAAACACTTCGTTGAATGCATCCAAACCTTTCTTCAGGCTTTCAGCTTCAATTTTCTTATATTTTTACCATTGAGAAAAAGTAATCTAGCAGGGTTTTCTTGATGTGAAACACGCGCACTACAAAATGCTGCTGATTTCGAGTTGCCGATGAAAGCACAGCTGTTTAACACGCAGTTCAAATAGAAAGGTTGCCAAAGAAAAAGATGTTGCCTACGATAGTCACTCTCCCTAGGGACGATTGGAGCTTTGCAAAAGCGTTTCAAAACAGTTTTTGGCAATTCTTTCTACTGACATTATTAGACCAGATTGTAAACAAACCAATACTGCATATGTGTGCGTTTCTTAGGGAAAAAGGCTATAGAATGATGGTCACTTCTTAGGATACCGAGGATACGTAAATTCCAGTACACCTACAATTCAAAAATGGAAAGAGTTAAGATAATAGATGAACGGTTAATTAAAAGAACTAAATGCTCTTCACATTTGTTCCGTCTACTAGTGGTCCTACGTCAAGCTTCCATTCGTGCCCCTAGGTACAGACCTTTCTACTTTTTAAATAAGAAAGTTAGTTTTTGAATTTCAAAAATTAAACGGTCACTTTAATGTTTGAAGGCACCAAAAGAAGGATAATTTTAAATAGAAAAACTTCACTCAAGACACCAAACGCCTAAATTCTAAAACAAAAGTACTATGGACTTTTGTATTGCTAAATTCCAATCCTGGACCACTGTGCCGTGTATATGGGGAAGTCGCGCAAACATCGAGTGAATTTCAAATGGGTTGTGTGGAGCAATTGCAAAATGTTTGCTCCGTTGACGAGTTCGTTGCAAGGAGATCCGACAACCAATCGAAGAACTAAGTCACCAACCAGGTTGCAGTGTTTATGGGCTGCATAATCAGCTATGAATTTGGGAAGCGTCGTTTCAGATTGAACCGTGGCTGGGGCGGTACCGAATGTTGTTGAGAAAACTTCAGTCTTGGCCTTTTTGATTCGTGCAACTATGTCTGTCTTTGTCGCGTTGTCTGACGATATGCTGGCTGCCAAGATATTTGAAATTAGTAACGCCGGTGATGTAGTAGTAAGCATGATTGTCTCTCACCCCAGCAGGCCTGGGTTCAATCCCAGTCGGCGCCGCCGGGATGTTCTGAGGCATAACATCTCTGATCATGCCTTTCTTCGGAAGGGAAGTAAAGCCGTTGGTCCCCGGTTCATGAGTTGATGGTTCGAAAGGTAGGGTCCAGGTGTAGGTGCTGCCTCCCTGGCGTCGGTTGCATTGATGCTCAGCACGGAAAACATGATCGACGGAACACAAACCAAGGAAAAAAAAAGATATTGGAAACTTTAAACTTTCTTCACTGCTTGCTCTGCTACCGGTAGAGTTGGAAGGGTTGTCCGCGGGGACATTCAACGATTTGGTCTTGTTAACGTTGACCGTGACATCCACCGCATAGGAGCGTTCGGCTAGGTCATTGAGCTTGCTCTGCCTCTGGGACAATTGGGCATCTTGAATGTTACAAAAAAAGTGACATAGTAGTAACCTCTTCCATTTTGCGACAAATGTTCTATTGTGCTGGTTGCCTAAGTTTAGAATCCGCTGTTAACTACCACTTCTTCCTATCGCACAACAAGATTGAACTGGATGAAACCCTTTGTTTGAACTCTTTAATTAAATCCATCCATTCCACACTCTTCAAACCAAACCAACCACCAAAATTGTCCACCACTGCACATCAAAGGTAGACGAGGAAACCAAATACTCGCAACAACCGCCAGTAGGTGATGTATGTGCTTAACCTTAAAAAACTGGGGAATATAACACCACAAACAAGACAATCTGAAAATCCCTCAAAGAAACAGAGGCATAAATCTGAAGCATAAATAAACATACGCTCAGTCAGGCGGCTGCTGCTCCAGGGAGACTCCGAGGCAGTCACACACTGTGCGACTGTTTTGATTTAAAACCCTTCCATCTTGGCGTCGTCGTCGTCGTCATCTATGCTTGCACCACACTCCACGCACCGTCGTCGTCGTCGTCCACTTGTAACAGTAACATGTGTTTTTATGTTCTTGAAGTCGTTTTGTTATTTAGGTGAGTTTATTCCTTTTATCCGTATTCATATGCGTATCTATGGAGGCCTATATGTTTGCCGAGAGGGGCGCTTGATTTGGCGCGTCATAATTTGTGACGTGAGTTTGGTTTCCCGTGCGAGGGAGCGCTCTACATATATGTGAGGGTTTATTATTAGAATATGTAAAACAGTGTCTAATGGTGGAGTGACGATCTGGAACGGGTTTTTGCACCCGCACATGCAGATGCTTATTTTTGCTGCTGGGTGTTACACAATTAGATACCGCCCCGCGAAATGGGTTTTGATTATTTGAAGCACCACTTAGGGCATTATCGGCGTCATCAATCATCGACCAAGGAAAGATCAAAGCGTAACATTGAAATCAATCATCATAAAGGTCACTACCTTGTCAATGGCAATCGCAGTAGAAGTGTACCACAAAGTGACTTCGACACCTGATAAGCGATCGAAGTGGCGTTTGCTCTGCTGACAGGAATCTAACCTCCATGTGGGGGCGCTGTAACGAGTGTGTTAATTACTACTCACTACACAAGTTGGTACTTTTCAGTGAAACCAGCATGGTGCCACTTTGCTGGTGTGTATGTATCTGTTGTTAACTACATACAAGGTAAATGCAGCTTCTACGGATGCCGCCGTTGAATGATAAGTGTCCGAGGAAAAATGACATTGTGCACGAGTCCTAACTACCTAGGGTGTGTATCGGTTGTAATCATATCGCGTATCACGACAACGCCATCATCGACTTCAGGGCGCACGTTCGGTTCAATTGCATCTGTGGCGCGATAGAGGATTTATGATGGGCATGTACTTGGTTTGGACACTACAAAAACAACAATTACGACATAGCAACGAACGGTTGGAAGTGATGGCCACACTTAATGACTTCTGGGGAACAAGAATGCTGTCAAATGTCAAACATGTGTCGGAAATGGGACTTTGTTGCAGATACACACAGCGCGTTGTGAGTGACTAGCAGAAATATGGTGAGCTGCAGATGTGATTGGAAGTGAGACTATAATGGTCGTAATTGTCATCGGCTAGATTGGAAAGTCGCCAAGGATGTGTACGGTGAAACTGAGGGAGTAAAGTCAACCTTAGTTGAACGCAAGTGACTGGTTCCGCGATCAACTGGACATTAGTCTAGCTACAGGGAATCGGTACCATATCTATGCTAAACTGTATTTAATATACCCGCTCATGAGCAATCATTTCCAATGATTGATGTCAGTGTACACTCAGAGCTAAAGCTATAATGCAAATGTCAAGGACCAATTCATTCGGATAGTGATGCGTTGTGATGATGTTGTCAATATTTATGCATTGATAATATTGTAAGGAAAATTGACAATACGATGTTGTGTGTTATGGACGCTTAAGCTACTTCTACCCAAATTTTCAAGAGAAAATACCCGAAAGGTAATTTTCTACAGCGTTTTTTATGACTTACTGTATCCTAAATGTTCTCTGCTAAACATGAAAATGCTAACTACATGATATGTGTCATCAAATGTAGTGCTTCACAGTTTACTTTCGTATAACAAAACGTTAAAATGCCATGATCAAAGAACGACTCACGTCGGAAGTCGCATGTTGCAAACAATGTACTGGCAAAATCCAGCACACATGTTGTACAAGCGTGGCAACTGATGATAGAATTAAAAAATAAGCAAATAAGAAGCGACGGGACGTTTCACAAATCTCTCACACCGCTTTTAAGATCCAACCGATTAGAACTTGTAACCTTTCCATATTTCACAGTCCATTTCTCCGCAAAATTACCGAGCGTTTGCGAATCCGAACCAAAACAAAAATGAACTTAAATAATATTGCTCTCATCTTGTTCAATTTCAGATTTGATCCGAAGCAAACAGCACCCAATGTGTTCCAATGAAACCAGCTAGAGTCCGGCGGTAGCAGTAGTAGTAGTTGCAGTGACACCGGATAACAAGCAGCCAGGCACCAAACGCAGGAAAAATGAATCATGTGCGAGTAGCTGTAAGAATCCTGCAGATCTTTGCGGTGCTACGATGGCTACCGTATTTGACGGTGAGTAACGACGCTTGTGTGTACCCAAACGATTAAGTAACTCCCTCACGTTTATCACGTCTTGCATATACCGACCTACCTATATCTGTTGGTTACGTAAGGCTACCGGTGCAACGACGCTGCGGGGTAGAGTTATTAAGCGTATTTTGGATCTTTTTGGTAGTACTCGCTAAATCAACTAGAAGATAAGGAAGGCATTTAGTAATCATATCATTTCTTTTTTTTTTGGAATAAATCCGGTAATAAAACATTATTTTTAATCCCACCTAGATTTCGACACACATTTCAACGCAAAAAGATTATACACTCTAGCTTATCTGATGATGAAACATTGGGCAATTTAACTTATCACGACAGTAAACCGTAGACCGATTGTCTACCGAAGAAAAAGAAGATCAAGATTTCACCAGAGCAGGAATCGTTGAGCCCTCGTCAAGGCTTATCAATCTGTCATAATCCTGCCAGACAAGTTTTTTTTTTTTGGCTCGGGAAGACGAACAAGTCATGAAACCATGGCGTCAAAAGTCTTTTCCCTGCCTTTCGGATTAAACCCTTGACCTGCCCCAAGCAAGATCCAACGACTCATAGTGCGTTTTGAATCAAGCAGTTTTGTTTAATACACAAGTATTTATTACAATATGAGCTCCACGGTCCCCACACGCCCCTGTTCGTGCAAAACTCTTGATGATCATCACGATCGGCGTAAAAATGAAACGAGACGACTGCAGTACCAATAAAGGAGCTAAGAGGGACATAAAAGCGGTACGAAATGAAAATGATAATGGCTGTCAAGTCGCTCGCTGGAGTCGCTTGTTGCTTGTGACGCAAAGGAGCATTCGCGCACACAGTATGAATGAAACTCATGAATGAAAGATGAATGGGAACTAGCAGAGGATCAGCTCTCGTTATAGATGATGATCCGGCAGGAATGGGCTTGCACAAGTTTTATGAACTGTGGAAATGTGGCGATGTGAGAATAATGATTGCACTTGAGTATTTATAAATTTTTCCTAGGTAATCCGGTTATAAAATTATTAAAAAAAAATAAACTGTAACGTACAGTCAAAAGGTCATTTTTTCTTCCCTATCTTTTAGAACCATTGCATACTGCACCGTATGAACAATTCAAGTAAATTTCTGCGATATATAGCGCACATTTTATTATCGCTTGGTTTGGCGTAATTTCATGTAAATTTAAGGGCAATATCGCATAAATCTGCAATATTGTATGCAATCTTGTAAGCTAAAAATCGATGTTCATGCCAACTATAGTTCAAAATTGATTTTACGCGTCAGTTAAAATTCAGAAATTTTTCACAATGTGGGTCAGGAATGCAATCTAGTGGATCAAAATTAATAACTCCGAAACGAAGTATTTTCGTGACTGGTGACTTCGGCGAAGTTTCTCATCATAATAAGAACCACTTTTTGACATAGACAAATAGTTCAAAACTCTTCTACAAAGATGACGCCACAATCTAACTTCTTTCTCTGACGTTTTGGAGACTTGACGTTTCTGGCAAAGTTGTTTATCTTGACAAAATAAACAACTCTTTTAAAGACGTAAAATTTCCACAGCCTACTGTTTCCGAGCTTTATGGAGTTAAAGAAAAAAAAACGGCATAAACATGTTATCCTTCTGTTTCGACCGTATAATGTTATATTTTTCTCTTATGCAAATGCATTAAATAAAGAAAATTTGTTAAGAAACATACTTGTTTAAGTATTAAATTTTAAAGGTATGGTTGAAAAAATGAAAAACAGAAATTTTTGAACTTTAACATCCCCCAAAGCGCAAAAAATCGCTACCTAAAATGTTCAGCAAAAAATAAGCAATACTCTTCTTCATTCTTCATTCTCCACAGCCTACTGTTTTCTAGTTACATGGAATTTCAGAAAAAAATGAGAAAATAAGTGTTTTAATTTTAAATGCATTTAACTAAAAAACAGTATGCTGTGGAGTTTTGACGACTTCAGAAAAGTTGTTTATTTTATCAAGATAAACAACTTATCCAAAAACGTCAAGTCTTCAAAACGCCATATCAATGCATTAAAAAAAGTCATAGAAAAAAACATGCTCCCTTAAAAAGAAGAAATCCCGAAAATACCAAAATATACTTCTTTCAAATTTTGAAATTTTAATAATTGAGTATTGCTTAAGTTTTGCTGAAAATTTCTGGAAGCGAATTTTTGCGCTTTGGGAGATAAACAATTGTTCAAACAAATGGCTTAAGCGCCACCTCCATAGAAGACCACTTATCTTTTCGGATGCCCGGCAAACTCAAAACCCCAGGGCGAGTTCAGTCTAATGCAAACGATTGGAACGCGCTAGTAGACGTTAAGTACTTGGGATTCAAAAGAAAACACTAAATCCAACCGAATGAAAACTAACCAGAAACCGTCTTTCTACCGGAGCGAATGCACTGGACGACCTGGTATCATCACAGGTCAAGCTCTTCCCCAAACACAAAATCTACACGCTTCAGGACAGAAATGGTGGACTGAGATTCCCAAGCAGTCCGACTTGGAGTAAAACCAAACAACGGAAACTACAACAACGAACGAAACGTGAGAAACTTCTTCAGACCAGTGCACTCATTGAACGGGAAATTCTAACCTAACAATCAAAACAATTATTTAGCAGAATTATAAACATTTATTTAGAAAAAAAAAAACTAATAGAACGAAAATTTTATTACTTAAACATTTTTATAAGGGAACCCTTCTCTTCTTCTCTTTACTCTCTCTAATTCCCTACCTAACTGTGCGGATTTCTAAATGGCTATTTATAACTGGCGCTTCATCCAGATTTAAGGTGAAAGTTGATTCTTTTCCGTTGATACTGACTCCGCACCCGTTTGAACCACACCCAAATTCAAAATGCATCAATACCAACAAGCATTGCAAATTCGCAAAATGGGAAGTATTGAAATTTTGACAAATACAAAATTATTGTAAAGTTATAATAATTCCAAGATTCCAAGGACAGGAAAGTCCTACTGAAGTTCAGGGAAGTCTTGGCGTAGTTCAGGGAAGGCCTGCCGAACTTCAGGAAAGTCCTGCCAAAGTTCAGGGAAGACCTGCCGTAGTTCAGGGAAATTCTGCCATTTCAATTCTTGGAAATCAGGGTTGTCCTGATGAAGTTCAGAGAAGTCCTGCCGAAGTTCAGGGACGGCCTGTCGAAGGTCCGGGAAGTCTTGCTGAACTTCAGGGAAGTCCTGCCGAACTTCAGAGAAGTCCTGCTGAAGTTCAGAGAAAACCTGCCGAAGTTCATGCAACTATTGCCGAAGTTCAGGGAAGTCCTGTCGAAGTTCATGCGTGCATGCGAACATTGTACGGTTCTACTCACGCTTCTGCTTTACCGACTGCTCCTCACCATCGTCTGTCAATACAATAGACTCACCAAAATGGGTGCGAGTCTTGATTCGCTAATTCACCAACTGCGTTTCGTGGTGATATCCCGGTGGGTGGGAAAATGCTCACCTGACGGCGCAGCTCCCTTCTAACTCCGGCCGAAGTTAGGTCCTTTAATACCGACGCGTGGGATCAGGGTAGTGGTAATATCGAGGGGGCGCGGTATGCCGAGCGGGAGGCGGGACGAAACTAGAGACAAAAAGCTGTCAAACGGCTGTACCACTTGATGAGCGCATTGTTGCAAAACCGCATAGCAAATCATTTACCTTTTAGTTGAAACTTAAATCACGCACAGTACCGCAATCACGCATTATTCAGTAGTAACTACACCTAATCAAAAGGAATTAACGAACAATTAATTACACTGAACTTAAGGACACTTCTCACATTTAAATATACCTCTACAAACACACCGTGAAACTATACAAAAAAACTTCACAGTCCTGCCTCTTCCACGGGTTGGATTAAAGTGGACGAGAAAGAACTTGGGATTCCTCAGAAAAACAATTCTTGGCCTTCGTTCCGGAAACCGAACAAACGATCTTATCAAAAGGCGATCTCCGAATACCTTCCGATTCGATCAGAGATACTATCTCTTTTCCTCCCAAGTATCCCACATCTGTCTAGCTCATTCCAATCTTTAACTTAAAGTGTTTTTCTTATTATTAAATTTCCGACGACAAGTAATCCTACTGGGACATTATACTCAATCCCACGGATCAACTTTCATGCCACCTCAAATGAGAAAACTTTCGCGCCTAATGAGCGGATGAACAAAATAATGAGTGAAATTTCATGCAGGGATAATTTACTCTTGATATGAGTTCACCAGTTGCATACAAGTGTGAACATTTGTAGCATTTGAACTTCATGCTACATTAATTTAATATCTAATCAGAATACCGCTACAAAATGTTATTCGATTTCTCGTGTTAATCAAATGAATACGATCCATAAATGTGGGACCACTGACGGATTAAGACGCAAGCTTTGATTCGCTCTTTTCTTTTGATCAAGACGTTCCCCAAGGTAAACTTGATGAACATGCAGAATTAGAACAGAGTGCTGTTCAGATCAGATCAGTCGCAGTCGTATTAGTATCAAACCCCGCATACGATTAGTTATATTGCTATTGGTGCAGTTACGTTATTGATAACAAAAAATGCATACTCTCATATTACCGTTTCTTACCCGGTGTGACCTCGATCGCGCTTGATAGTTTGGTTGACGTGATGATCATCGATGTCGGCAAAATTTTACCAGGTTTTTGAATAACTGAAAAAGTCCGAAAAATTTCAAATGACCATTACACGTTAGAAATCAATAAAATAAACAAATTTTGAGTTTTTTAATATCTCAAATGGGGTTAACTGACAAAAGTCTGAACAAGTTCAGGAAATATTTTTTTTAATTTGTGATTTTTTTTTACTGATTTTAAAACTTTTTACCAAGAGCGGAGACCTGGACTGCCACTCATGGCAAGTCCATCCCATAGCACAAATCAGCAAGCCGAGAAAAGTGCGTTTTAAGCATGCTTCGTAGCATTGTTGCTTATGTAATGCGACGACGTTTGGCTGTTTTTCCAA